TACAGAAGAACCCAAAGATGACTGTGGCTGAGCTCCAGAGATGCAGTCGGGAGATGGGAGAAAGTTGTAGAAAGTCAACCATCACTGCAGCCCTCCACCAGTCGGGGCTTTATGGCAGAGTGGCCCGACGGAAGCCTCTCCTCCGTGCAAGACACATGAAAGCCTGCATGGAGTTTGCTAAAAAACACCTGAAGGACTCCAAGCTGGTGAGAAATAAGATTCTCTGGTCTGATGAGACCAAGATAGAACTTTTTGGCCTTAATTCTAAGCGGTATGTGTGGAGAAAACCAGGCACTGCTCATCACCTGTCCAATACAGTCCCAACAGTGAAGCATGGTGGTGGCAGCATCATGCTATGGGAGTGTTTCACAACAACTCCGTGACTGTTCTTGAATGGCCCCGCCAGAGCCCTGACTTAAACCCAATTTAGCATCTCTGGAGAGACCTGAAAATGGCTGTCCACCAACGTTTACCATCCAACCTGACAGAACTGGCGAGGATCTGCAAGGAGGAATGGCAGAGGATCCCCAAATGCAGGTGTGAAAAACTTGTTGCATCATTCCCAAAAAGACTCATGGCTGTATTAGCTCAAAAGGGTGCTTCTACTAAATACTGAGCAAAGGGTCTGAATACTTATGACCATGTGATATTTCAGTTTTTCTTTTTTAATAAATCTGCAAAAATGTCAAACATTCTGTGTTTTTCTGTCAATATGGGGTGCTGTGTGTACATTAATGAGGAAAAAAATGAACTTAAATGATTTTATCATATGGCTGCAATATAACAAAAAATTTAAGGGGGTCTGAATACTTTCCGTACCCACTGTACATCCCCATTAATCATATAGCACATACAGTATGTACTGGAGGTGTCATTCCCAGAGAAGGCCTGGGTACAAAGTGTATGATCAAAGGGCGGCAGTGCCTACAGTAACTCTGCCTGTACCTGGAGGTACTGCCAGAGCCTGTACATTACTTTCATCTTCAGCTAGTGCAGCCTCATATTGGAGCGCCACGCTTGATGTGTGTGTCCTTAGGGACTGGATGTCCATGACAGTACAGTGAGTTAAAGCGTTTCCTCGTCATGTGCCGGCAGAAGAACAGAAGAAGAAAGGGAGGCGACCAGGAAGCTGGTGTGCTCTGGCAGCCGGCAGGCCTTTTTCTTCAGGGTTTACCTTCTTCATTTTGATTTGTTTTGTCCATTTTAATTTTCTATGTGGAAGTCCTGTTACACGGCACATCTTCTCATTTGTGTTGTGATGTCCCACTGAGGCCAACACAATGAGTGTAACACATAGCTATTAGCAGCTGCTTCAGAGCAGCTGCTATGCAAATGCACCTTCTGAATAGCAAATCTTGACAAAATAAAGGAACAGTGTGTATATGCGTGAATAGTCCAGTGGGTTTAGGTCCTCGAGGTACAATGTCGACCCAGAGATAAACTCATGCCCCTGTGATGTAATTAGCTTGTTGGCTTTAACTGCAAAGTTAGAAGATGTGTGTGTTCACATGTGGGCTAATCTCTCTCACATGTATGCACTAATGCTCCTGACTTCACATTCATCAGTGAGCATGTGATCACATGACTGAGTCACACAGTCCACTTGGAAATAAATTCAAGCTCCCACAGACATGCAGCATGTGCATGTGAGTCGTCCTGCAGCTCCAGCTCTGATGTATAATGTGTGCTATTAGAAAGAGATCTGCATAATTTCTGCATACTTTTCTATTAGGTGATTTAAATGGAATTAGCTCTTTGTTCTGTATGTTAAAATTAGACATTTTGAGAGATATGGGTATTCGCCAACATAGTATGAAGTTGGGAGGCAGTTAGCATAGCTTAGCATAAAGACCTGAAGCAGGGGGAACAGCTGCCTGACTCTGCCGAAGTTCAAAAATACGTCAGCCATGATATCTAAAGATCTGTTTTATCCTTACACAAGCAAACGTTGCACATCAGCCAGTAAATATCACATTGCCATGTTGCAAATAAATAGTTTTTATACATAATTCCTCATAAAATCACAACTTACAGTTTTACATTTCTGTTTGCGTATGGATTTAATTTAATTACTGTGATCTTGAAAAGTGTTGGGAGCTTGTGACAGAGTCGATGTTTGCATCTATATGCTAAACCAAGTTGCCTCCTGGCTCCATCTCTGCATGCACAGACTTGAAAGTGTTACTGATCATCTCTATTAATGGTTGGAGAGAAAGTGAATAAGTATATTCCCCAAAATGCTGAACTACTCCTTTATCTTTAACCTGATCATATTCTGAACCTAAAAGCAATTGGCTAACATTGGCAGCAGCTGTACCAATGGTCCTCTCTTCTACACAAATCACAACAACTAGGGCCATCAAATGTGACAAGAGGAAAACAAGGAAAGATAGATACAGGGGATTTGAGACTTGTCCTTTTGCCCACATGCTTGTCTGTGTCCTCAGTTTCTACAGTCTTAAAGTAGTGTTTTTCTTACTGTATTCCATGCAACTTCCCTCTCATGCCCTTCCAGTGCACAGCTCTTACAACCAGATGAATGTAAAAGCTGCTTTTCGTAGCTGGTTCTGTGAATGATTCAGAGACTGCACATGATGGCACCCTCGAGGTTGCTCAAACACCGATACTTTGTGTGGACCACAGAGGATGCAGGGTTTGTGAACACTGGAAAGCTGCTAGTGTTGCTGTTTGTGTGGTGGCCGTGCTCATGCTGTTTGCTGAGCCACAAACATTCAACCCGCATTGGCTCAGATGCAAACAACAAACAGTGTTCGTCAGAACGGTAGCCGCCTTTCTCTCCTTGCTACTGTTGCCAAGACTGACATTGCTTTTACATTACATCATACAAAATTAGCAATCCATCTTTGAGATTCACTTATCTTAGAATTTGCCCTGGAAGCAGATCCCCATGCAATTAGTGTAGCAGAGATTAGCATTCTTGATTATCTGTTGTTGACAATAGATAACCCAGGGGCCAAATGTCTATTTCTGCTCAGTTCCTCTCAGACTGGAAATGATGTGTGTAAAATAAATGTTTAAGGAGGTTCGCACAACTTTCCTTTTATACAGGACATTATTTCTCAGTCTAAAGTTGAGTGCAAAGTTATTATGACCTGTTATTCTGAATGCCCTCACTTATGAAAGACTCGGGTTGAGGAAAAAAAAGAACTAAAGTTTCCTGTCAGCTGTGTTTTTGAGTTTAACCACTGAAGAAGAGATGCACTATTTACTCTATTATTGTGTCATGACTTGGGCCTTGTATACTTTTGTTGTTTAAGTGCAAACATGATTCTATGTGATGATAGCAAAGGCTTATTCACACATGTACCATCATTACTTTTACTTTTAACCGATGTATCCCAGTCCCCTGGAGACTTGGGCACTATTTAAGCTGAACTCACGTTGAGGACTGAGGAGGCAACAATAATGGGAGCTGATGGAAATTTGCCAAACCAGCAGAAGGAACGAAGGCCATACCAGTCCAAACAGCTGCTGCCAGATGCCAGACATCTGTTTCTGTGTACCATCAACCCTTCATCTTTCCATTCTCTGCGCTCCTCTTCTCTGCCCGCTCCACACCAGGCGAGAGGATTACGGCTAGGCCCATCACTCACTGCTCATCACTTCAGCCTTTATCACAGACACAGGGCTGCTATCGCCAGCTGAGTAGCACATCCAGCAATAAACACTCACAGACACTTCTTGAATGCCACAGCACAGCACCTATAATCTCCTTTGATTTAAACGAGGCCAGAAATCCTGCACCGCATTTCTGCACTGCACAGAATCTGGAGCTGGGAAAGTCAAGGGCAGAGGGGTCGTGCCAGTAACAACCTCAGTGAGCAGAGTGGCCCTGTTTAGCATTTAGCTCTGTAACAATAAACAATGAAAAGGCTTGGCAGTGCTGTGTCGCACCCATGGTTTATTTGTAGTAACTGGGACAGGGTCTGTGTTATTTAAGCACCAGTTTTACTGTGTCTGAACTATTTTGTTTGGGCGCCATTGTTCTGTGACTCTGTTCTGATCCTCTCATCAGTCTTATGCCCCAGGGTATTTGCATTTATCAATCAAAAGTTTGAAGTCCAGTTCACAAGTGTCTGAAGTTGATAACATTACACAATTTTGGTTAATATTTCAAAGATGAGTACTCCATTTGTGTAAGAGATGGTGACCTACAGCCATTACTCTCTTTTCCCTTCCTGCAGAAATGCATGCGGTTCAACCCGGATGCAACAGTCTGGATTGCCAAGCAGCGGATCCTCTGCACGCTTAACCAGAGCCTGAAAGACGTGCTCAACTATGGGCTTTTTCAGCCACCCAGCAATGGGAGGGATGGCAAGTTCCTGGACGAGGAGCGCATCTTTCGAGAGTACCCGCAGCCAATCACCAAGGGCGTCCCATCTTTGGAGGTAAACTGAAGACCAGTTGGAGCAGGAATATTATATTTGTTATCCAAACTGAATAAGAAAACTATATTATTCCCAGTGTTAATGGGAGATGCGGGCAGGGAAATATGGTTTTTAAGCTGGGAGGTGGAACAGCGGTTAGCACTGTATCCTTACAGCAAGAAGGTTCTGGGTTTGAACCCTGACCGACCCAGGGCCTTTCTGTGCAGAGTCTACATGTTCTGTGTGGGTTCTCTCCGGGTGCTCCGGCTTCCACCCTCAGTCCAAAGACATGCTGCTTAGGTTGAGTGGTGACTCGAAATTGCCCGTAGGAGTGTGTGTGGTTGTTTTTCTACATGTCAGCTCAGTGATAGATTGGCAACCGGTCCAGGGTGGACCCTGCCTCCTGCTCATTGACAGCTTGGATTGGCTGCTGTGACCCTATTCAGGAATAAGTGGTATAGATGATGGATGGATGGATTAAGCTGGGATTTCTTAAATCTTAAATCTTAAAGAGTCCCTTAGGTTTAAAATTTTCCAGTGGAAGATCCAGAGCCTGCAGACAGAACTTTAATTAAATAAATGACACCAATATAAACCAAGATCCTCCATCTTGTCAGTTTACTATAAGTCTGTATAAATTCTGCAGAGTGAAGTGTTTGTATCCATGCAGCTCAGATCTTGGACCACTTGTCTTCATTAGTTTGGCCGTGCATGCTAGTACCATGCATGTTGCCTGGGTCAAGCAGATACAGTAGCAACATACTGGTTGTGGTTGGGGTGTTTTTCTGGGAGCCTCATGGTGGTGTTTGACACTGTAGCACCTCAGACTCTCTGCTTTATTGGATGTCGATTCATCAGGTGACAAAGTCCATAAGGTTTGTGATTTTGGTATAAAAATCTCAACTCAAAGTCTGCATCTAATGGTGTTTATCAGTGTATGTCAGTTTCCGCACTCCCCTTGTTTGGAGTTTCTGACATGCTTGTAAGACTGAGTAATTTTATTTGCTGAGGAAGACCACAGGCCTCAGAAACACCAAGTAGTCTGTGAGATCAGATTCTTTTTGTGAGTCTGCTATTTCCAAGGTGAAGCGTGAACTTTCAAATGTGTGTTTGTTATATTTTCTTTGTTGGCATCAAGTTATTAAAACATGTCACATACTGTATGTGTTTTATGTGGCATTTTATGTAGCCCTGTATGTCACAAAGTATCCAAGCAATCTAACGCTAACACGACAGTCTTCAGAGAAAAGACCTGATACAGTTTCATATTTCTCACAGCCTACCTGCAAAGATATAAAATGTCATGTTAATAAAGAGGACACACCTTACTCTTTTTGGAGGAACAGTTCTCATATTTCTGCACCCAGAGTTGTAAACAACGTGTGACTGAGAGTTTAGAGGGACAAGTCACATGTTCCCAGAAGTATACTGACGTTTAATAAAAGCCTTGTTGGACCTGTTATTTTGCTCTGAACCTTTTCTCTTTCACTCCACAGTTTTGCTACAAGAGCCGGGTCTACAGGCAACCCAATGTGGACGAGAAACAGATCGCCAAACTTCATACAAAAGTAAGAGTAAAGGCATGAAATGGAGCAATCTCCTACAAAAATAACAGTTAATTATATGTGGCCCTATTGTGTGGCTGGTGTTGGGGCGCTAAAGCACTGTGGCTCCCAAACTCAGTCTGCAAATGATTAATCACGGTATCATAAGTGCCAGCTGTGACTGTAAGCAAAAACTGGTTATGCAAATGTGGCAATCAACACCACTTCACCTAGACATGTTTATTCCAACTTGATTTTGGCACTCAAACACCCAGCATGCCCCATTTCCTATGGGTGCATCAAATCATCAAGGAGATTTGACTTGGCACACTTAGATTGACTAGATTGAAGAAAATGCCAGGGAGGGGAAACAATTTGAAAAGAATCTACAAGCTGGAAGGGAAAAACATGGAGTTTGCTGTGCAGCAGTGGATTGTCTGCCTGACACTGAGTGTTTAGAGCAACAAATAAAGGCTTTCTGAAAGGGGGGCAAAGGCAGCTGTTGTAAAACTGTGGGAAACATTGCCAGCTCAGGGACAAACTTGCAGGACAGCTGGCACGAGCTGCTGGACAGACAAAGAAAGTGAAGAAGATGATGTCACATTGCCGCCCACCTCAGTCTAACTGTAAACTGGCCTTTGACCATCACAGCACTATGTGAAAACACCACAGTAATGGCTCTTTCATGCTAAAGGTGCTACCAAAATATACTAACAGAAATTCCCTCACAGATTGTGTTATCTGTTTAGCAGCTTCACTGGTTGATTTGGGAAAGAGAGTGTTTGTAGGTGTTTGGTTTAATTGTTGGCAGCTTGAACTGTGTGACAGACGAAGGACGGGGGATGAAACAGCCAGGGTACAGTGTGGCACACATGTCAGTTTGGGCTCATTTTGATCGTTTCAGTTTCTTTGTGATACTTGAGAAAAGTCTGTTTGGATGCTACTCTTTCCTGCCAGCCTGGCAGCAGGCCCCCTCCCTCCACCTCTGACCGTCCCTCATCTGTAGTAAATCTGTACACAAAATTAAAGGCTTTTAACCTCTTTATTAATGTGTAAGGCTAGCTCTGGGCTGCTGTCCCAGAGCTACTGTAGTGCAGCCAAAGCATAAGTGTCTCTGGCAGCTCTCTGTTACCGGCACACTAGGAAACTGTCTGACAGCTGCTCTAATTCTGCATCCAAATGCAGGAGAGAGAGAGAAGATAGGAGAAGGAAGCAACTAGAAAGGAGGTGAATGAAAAATAAAAAAACCAGAAGCAAAGAAGAAAAACGTTTTATAAATGTGGACCTGGGAGAAATGACCCTTTTTACACTGTTTGCAAAAGTCATTAGTTAGAGCTTCTGGCTCCTTGATAGGTTTATCTAATATCTGTTGTTTTTGGCTTCTTTTTTGGCCTGAGCCCAGTTTTTGGAGCTAAACCAGTTTGCCATTCATTCTGGTGCTCTGTGGTGGGTTGACACCAGTCAGCCACCAGCCTCCCAGTCTGTTTCTGCAAAGGCAGAGAGAAAGACAGGGCACTATCTTTCAGACTGTGATTCACCACATACAGGGGGCACACTGGTTACATTAACTGAAACACTGTATGAAAACACAGGGCCATGCATGTGAACCGCTGCCATGTGCTGATATTGAACTGGCTCTGCCTCGGCTTTAACTCAGTCAGTGCAAATTATGTTCTGTTATTAATAAACTGCTACCATTATTAGAAAACCAGAATTACTGTTTCATGGTTTTATGCCTCTGCCAAACTGTGAAATTCACGGAAATGGGACAGACACAAGGTGACTGTGACCTTGACCTATGGCCTTTTGACCAAAACCTAATCAGTTCATCTCGAAATCAAGTGGGCATTTGTGCCAAATTTGAAAAAAATTCCCTCAAGGCGTTCCTGAGATATAACGTTAATGAGAATGGGATGAACACGGGCTTCGGCATGATGGATGTAGACATCCCCACCTCCACCTCTGCTATCGTCTCATGTCCCTGTTATTTCTCTCCCTCCTGTTTATTCTTGCACTTTTCTTCCCAGTCTATTCTTTTATTGCTGCTCATTGTCTTTTTCTTCTTCTCCTGTCTCATTCTTTTTTCCTCATTTTCTCCTCACCTTCAGGGAGCTGCTCTCTTATCTATTTTTATCATGCGGCCTGGAAAGAAAGCAGACAGGAACAATACGGAAAGAAGCAGCCATTCCACTCCCCACTATCACCACACTCTGAATCCTGTCTTCTTCCCTCCTGTGCTTCCTGGTTTCTGTAGCCTTTTATTTTACTCTATTCCCATATTCGTCCATCTTTAACGGCCAGTTTTCCTCAGCCTGACACTGTGTCCTATACATGTACACTTTTCACCCTCGGTTTTGTTTGGTCTGCTGCACCTTGCTCTATCTTCACTTCTATTTCAGTCTTTTTGCAGCTCTGAACCTCTATCCTGTTTTCTCTCTCACACCCACCAACATTTGGCCGTTCTTCTCACTGTAACAGCTCTGTCTCTTCTGTGATTGTGCAGGCCAATCTGAGGAAGTTCATGGACCTCATCCAGCATAATCAGGTGGACAAGGTGTCTAAGTTTTTGGAGAGAGGCCTGGATCCCAATTACCATGACAGTGAGAATGGTGGTAAGGCTGCCTCCTGCACACTAGCACATATGAGATCTAACAAAAGGAGAGAGCCTTATTTGAATGTGAGTTTGTATTTGTGTGTTCTTGCTAAATCAGGCTGTTCTCTGAAACAGGTATCTGCATTTAAAGCAAAGGCCCTTTAAAAACACAAAAGCTAAAACAAAGGAAAAGTAGAGATAGAACGAGCTGTTCATCACTTCACTCTGGCCGTCAGTAACCCCAGTTTAGTGGCTGGCCCAGTTTCAGCAAATATCCTTCACCACTGTAGAGACAGCATCCACAGTGTGGCCACCATCTGCTTTGTGCACAGGCTGTGTTGACTTTCAGGGTAGATTCAGCTCTAGTATTATTTGTACACCATGTAGGTTAATGAAACTATTGGGTGTCAGGAGCTGAGGCATCTATTTAAAGGACTGTTGTAGATGTCTTTATGTTTCCAAAATTTGGGTGTGATGTGCAACAGTCACATGCAAAACCTACCTTGAATTCAACCACAAAACAGACATATTTTGTAGTAGGGTGTAGATACTGTAGTTTGTTTTCTGTGTGTCTGAAACTTCCTTTCTGACACCTCGAAATAATGAAGCTGAATGGAAATGTTTTGCACTGTTAAAGAACTTAGTTTTCACAGCAACAGTTTCTTCAGAAGAAACTGTTGCTGTGAAAACTATTGACCACGAGGTCAGTGGGTTAGCAAGACTGGCCCGCAAATTGTTTCTAGAAAGACACTTTGCAGCTGAACACCGCAAACGTTAGTTTTACACCATACAAACAAAATCCATTCATTGCTATTGAACTGGGCTAGCAGCAGAAATCAGCACAGTTGGAAAAGTCATTTGAGTAAATTGACCCTTCAAGACAACTCAGTGGGAGCCCACTGCCTGTTCAGTTCCACCCCTAGTTAATGGTACCGCAGTGGTGCTATAACAGAGGTAGGTGCCTCGGTGCCAAGTGGAAAATGACCCTCGGATGTACAGAAAGGGTACCAAACAGCTGGGGAAGTGGAGTGCGGAGCCCTGTGGGCAGCAGTGAAGGGTTTTGTTTGTGGAGACTGTCTTCCAGGTGTCAACACTTTTTTTAAATTTTATCCTTTAACTAGCCTCCTTGAGATTTAAATCTCTTTGTCAAGAGTGACCTGACCAAGACAGCAGCGCAGATATAGTTACAACAGTAAACACAATTCAAACAGACAAACAGAACTGTCACACACTACAGTTGAGTGAACAACACCCAATTGCTGTGTAAGGTCAAGGTCAGTACAGTTAAGTTGCATAAATAAGTACAACTGACCTAAATTGCCCTGTAGCAATCAGCTTGGGTAAATTCACTGCCTTCTGTACATTATTTCAGGAAGAAGGGGAAGCATATTTAAATCTTTTTTGCCTAACAATGTGTGAGTTGTGTATCTGAGAGGAATCTGTGTTCAGTCAGCTTGCTGCATCCTGAGTAAATGAAATTACTATAGCCAGAAACCTGGTTCTGCTTCTAAGCACAGCTGCACAGGGAGCAGCCGGTGCCTCACATCATGAGCTGCGTCCTGAAGTCACTGTGTTCACAGCTCACACACGTTCCATACAAACACAGCGAGCAGGTGTTTCATGCTACGCTAGTTAGCAGTACACTGTTAAATGTGCCACAGGTTGGGTGAGCATTCCTAAGGAAGCCTAGTATTCAGGGTAAATGATGTTTTCTCCTATCACACAGTGGGTCTGAGGCCATTGCATCACAGATCTGCTGGCTCCATGACAGGCGACACATTCTCTAACCTACTGTACTTTTAGGCATGGAAAGAGTAAATACTGGGCTAACTGACCTGACCTCGTATCTACGTTGGATCTGTTTAGGCTGAGCAGCTGTGATCGGTGTCGAGTCCATGGGTTCATTGACATTTGGCACATTTTAAACCCGAGGATACAGGTGGTAAACCGTAGGTTTAGGTACAAGTTAAAGCCCTCTAGTCATAGTGGCTTTTGGATCAGTATCCACGTCAGAGGGAATGTGAGTCAGGAGGGTGGAGCTCAGGGAGGAAGAAACACCTGCTGCTTTGTCTTTCAAAGGAATGAAAGGAATCACCCTTTCTTTAGAGGATGCTTTGTGCCAGTGAATTTACCTTCACAGATTTCAAAATAATGATGGACTTTAACAGTCATCTAAAAACAGGCTGCATTTAAAAACTCATTGTATTCATTTACCAACCAGTGCTGGTTTAAGTGCTGTTGACTTCACCTGAGTATTAATTGTGTTTATTTACAACCATTTAATTAATACATCAAGTATCTCGGGTCCAGCTGCTCTTAACACGGCAGTATTGAGTGGTGGACAGAGACTGAAAATCCATCTACTGCCAAGTAAAGGTGCAGCTGAGAGGAGGAGTGATTGTTAAACAGAGAACTGAGCTTAGCTTTGAGAGCTATTGTTAAGTGAACAACTTATTGATAAGGAGGAGAGGCTTCTCTGCAGAGTCCTGTTACTCAGCTCTTAGTACCTATTGATTACAGCTGTTCAGCTGCAGCTCTCCATGTGATGCTTGTGGCAGCAAACAGCTGAAGAAATCAAGGCTCACTTTTATCCTTTCACAGGGAGCCACTTGTTGATGCCATTCATGTTTGTGCAATGTGTGAAAATACTTTCATCCTATACTGTACACACAGCTACAGAAAAACCCTTAAATCTTTTTAAATTTCTATTTCTAAAAGAGATTTAGCTTTCACTTCAGTTCAGTTGCTGTGCCCTTTTAAAGTTGCCTTCTGAGCACAGTTACTTTAAGTATGTTGAATCCTTGTGCAGTATATTGTACTTCTTGTATACTAACTGCAAAAACTGTATATTCCAAAGAAATTCTCGACTGCGTAGTGAAATTGGGACATGTCACTTTTCTCTGAGTGTATTGTTTTGATGACCTAATTTAGACTGAATTATTCATCTTAACCACTTCGTAGTTTATCTCCTACTCTAATTAGTTGTGACAGACAGTTGACCTGCTTTTTTCTGCCTGATTGACACTGGTGCAAAACAGGTAACAACAGTTTTCACACTTTATTAGTGGCTTTTTATTTGTCACTCGGACTTAACTGTAATGAAGACGCTGGAGGGTGAGTGTCAGGCTTTCTTCACATGAACTGTGGCGCTTTTTGTCAAACGTAGGAGTGGAATGAAAGCCAACTGCACAAAACGACCTCAGAATACATTGTTTTCAATAAAGTACATGATGCAGCTTGTTTGGAAATTCAGCATGACAAAATGAGTTAAGTACAAACGTCAACCTGAGCTGACACTCACCTGTAGCGTCTGAGTACTGGACTTGTCAGCGATGAGCTTGAGTTCTGCTCAGGTCATAAACCTTCCATAAAAGCCTACTACATTCAAATCTTTAAGACCTGACCCAGATGAACTTGACTGCTACTGCCAAATCTGAGACATGACCTCACCTGAGACTTGGAGCCAAGTTTTGCTTATATTTGCTTCATATCTGACTATTAATGTGCATTAATTCCCCTTTGCTCTGTATGTACTGTGTTTGCATGTCATAGCTACTTGCAACACATAATACTGTATGTGTGGAGAAGGAGAGGGGAGGGGAGAGGAGGGGAGGGGGGACACAGTTAGTGACATGTGATGGTGGCATATAAAATAAGGGACTTCATAAAACGTCTCTTGGGACATACAGTATTAGTCCTCACAGTGATCCAGAAGATCCAGGTTTTGTCAGGCATTTTGAGCACCAATAAAACCCCCCACTGTGTTTGGGTGCCCCTGAGCAGCTTCTGTAGTGGGTTCTGTGGCCACTCTGATACCTTTGACTACTTGCTTCCCAAAAGAGAAACACAAGAACAATCCCAGAAGAAGAAAAGTGCTGCCTTTCTTTTCACACCTGCAACGGTACTTGTCAACTAGGAGTCCAATTTTTAAGCATGTATCTATTATAAAATAATAGCCATAATAATACCTGTGTAAAAATTTGTACTATGTAAATTTGCCCACTGACTCCCCAGCATCTTTTTCCAGATATTTCACAAATGTTTATGTTCACAAATGTGCCATGCAGTGTTTACCATCATTTTATAAAAACCTGAGGCTGATAACTTCCAAGGCTAATTAAAATAAGATAATAACTTGTTCTCCTTTTCACTTAAAATAAGCCCAGAGTCTTTTTCCTGCTCCTGATTCGTTGATGTTGCCAAAATTCCTTCTTGTCCCTCGGGTCAATGTCACTGGGAGGACTGTGAGATGTACAAACCACTTACTTTTCTTACCCAGTCAGAATTCCCACAGAAGATTTTTCCCTATTTGAAGCATCTTTAGTTTTGAATGTTTTTGTTTTTTGTTTTTTTTTACCTGTAATTAGCAAAGGTGATTTTAAACAGATTGAGAAGTGCAGGCAGTCTTTTCCCATGTGGTTTGTGCCAAAGAAAACAAACTTTGCGATCCCATGCTCAGTTCTGGAGTCCTGGGCCTTACTGCTGTGTTTGAGGTTAGTTAGATCGCTGTACCTCTGTGGTTTTTGGCTCCTAAGTGACCCTTGTTAAAAGATAAACCTGCTGCTCATGATGCACTCTTACATTCACAAAAATATTATTTCCTAGAGAGCCCGCTGACACTTGCAGCCCAACTGGACGATCCTGTGGAGTTGATCAAGGCACTGAAAAACGGAGGCGCTCACTTGGACTTCAGGGCCAAAGACGGCATGACCGCCCTCCACAAAGCTGCCAGGTCTAAGAACCAGATTGCACTCACGGTAAAAGAACTGATTACTTTCATCCTGTTCTCCCTCCTCATCTTTTCACATCAGCTTGGTTGTGTATTGCTGGATTCTTGATGTTGCAATCACAGTGCAAGGCTGACAATTTCCAGATCATGCTGAGTGATCTTTTGCTACACAAGCAACATCAGGTTTTTGTTATGCATGCAGACCTGTCACTTAACAGCATGCTGAGAAGAGAAAGGGATGATGCGTCTGCCTCTTCCAGGGAAGTGAGAGCTAAACACTGTTTGCTCTCAGTACTTCCTGAGGAGCTAAGACCAGCAAGTCAGTTCCATCTTTTCCCTCTGTCTTACAGTGCAGGCAGTTTAGTAACAGCAGTTTTTTTCTTTCCTTTATCATTTTAATCTTTTATCAGCATTTCCATTTTAATCCATTGTACTTTGTCTTTTGTGACAAAGTAGAGAAATTTAGTGCACTTGACTTAAAAAATAAGTTGATGATAGTGATGACAGTTGTTATTCTAAATCTTCAATCTAATGGAAAATTTTTTAGATTTTTTACAATAGATTCTTTTCTCTGTGTTTTGCCTCTTCCCACCTCACACTCACACACACACACACACACACACACACACACACACACACACACACACACACACACACCTGTCATTCCTCAGACCCTGCTGGAGCTGGGAGCTTCTCCAGACTACAAGGACAGCCGTGGGCTGACTCCTCTGTACCACAGCATGGTGGTGGGAGGAGACCCGGGCTGCTGTGAGCTCCTGCTCCACCACCAGGCCTCCGTCTGCTGCCAGGACGAGAACGGCTGGCATGAGGTTCACCAGGTACACACACACATGCACAGAGGGATTTTTGCTGATTTGGTTATTAACAGCTTGTACTGGGAAGACATTACCACAGCACACACAGACACAGACTCCCTGGGCTGTGGGCGACTGTCTTGGCATCTGTTGTTCATAGAAGCAGATAAAGCTGTTTGAAGACAGCGTCTCCACAATGGGTGCATGTGTGTTCATGTGTGTGTTCAGGCCAAGAGCCTTATCAGACTGCTTATATCTCTCTCCCTGTCAACTTACAGAACCTCTGCCTTTTCCCATCTGTCCTGTTTCAGACATGATAACAATCAGCTGTCAGGCAGGACAGTGAACAACAGAATGGCTGAGCCAGTTCACAGTTCAAGGTTGTGTCTGTTCACTTTTAAAATCTTGGAAGCTTTAATGATCACAAGCTTCTTATTCAACACTAATTCACACAACACCATTCAAATAAAACCCAGAAATCATGGAAATATTAAAATGTACGACACCATTCCTTTCCTTCTGTTATTTCATCCAGCTTTTCATCTCTTCGGAGTAAAACCCGTTTCACTTGTTTGCAACACCATATCCTAGAATATTGCACATTCCAGTCAGGCTTCAGGGCTCATCATAGCCCAGAATCTCATCTACACAAAGTTTCCAGTGATTTAATGCTGTTAGCCTCTGGTAACTGTGCCATATCTTTAGCACCTCAGTGGGAACCACTGCATTTTTTAAGAACTGCCTTAAGGATCCAGCTGACTTATGTGGATTGCCTCATACTTAACAGACAGATCCTACTCTGTTAAGATTGGCAACTTCTCCTCCTCCACTGCCCTGGTCATTTGTGGAGTACCTCAAGGGTCCATTTTAGGGCCCATGCTGTTTGCTCTCTATGTGCTCTTTAGGCTCCATCTTCTACAGACATAATAATCTCATTATATACTGAGTTTAGACTTTTGGTTAAACAAGCAGACATCTAGAGCTTTCACTCTTGAAACTGGTGTTGGACATTCTTCCATAAATTTTAAAGACTAAGTAATAAATCAGTAACAACAATTTACAGGTTAATCAGTAATTAAAATACTCATTAGTTGCAGCCCTGATTTCAGATCCATCAAGCAGAAAAACATGCTTTTAAATCTATGACAATCTGTGAATTCAGTCTGAGTCCACTACTGTGACTTGAAAGGCCATTTCTGAGTGCTTACACAGTCCACAGTTGCAAATAGCCGAGCTCCTTGACGTCACAGCCTTGGATATATTCATGTGAAAACCAACCAATCACTGCCTTTTCACATTGTGTTCTAGGTCATTTTTGTCACTATGTTCAGTGAACAAGTTGACCTCAGTGTGATAATGACAAGCAATAAATCCAATTAAAGCTGTGTCCTTTCCAAATTGACATTTCTCATATTTTGAGTGATAATCCACAGTGTGAAAAAAAGTGTGTTAGTTACGATTTTATCCAGTTGATCTGCAGGGTTTCACATGCTGAGATCTATTTGTCAACAGATGTGCTGGGGACATCATTGCTTAGCAGCTTCTGAGCCACAGTTTCTGGTTGAACCGTGTTAAATCAGAACACCTCATCCCACCAGAACATGGAGGTAGACTTCCTCTGAGACAGTGATCCACTCTCTACTGGCTTTTTTTTTTTTAACAAAGTCTGCAAAAACAGTGGACACTGCACAGTTGAAGATAGTCTTCAGTCTTTGAACTAGCTGTAGTGAGATAAATGCTAAGCACACTTTGAAAGTCAACACAAGTGAGGCATTAAAACACATTCAGCCTTATGTTTTGCCTGTTTGTGCAAATGCTTAACCTGATGCAATCTCACAGCTCCCCTTGGAGATGAAACACTTTCTGCTGCACCCTGATTTGATTCGGTTGATAAGCAGTCACTAGAGTTACTGTCCTTCCTTAGCAAACCCCTCAGTCTCTCACAAAAGCTTCAGTGTAATAGGCTGTTTCAAATAATCCCCACTTATGCTAAACAGCTACAGTAAATTGCGTCTGTCACCATATGTTGAAACATTAATGCTCTTTACAGAGAAAATTGGTTCATGAAAGCAATAACTTCCTGCTCAGCCTCTGTTTCTAATTTCCCTTTGCATGCTGTCCTAATGGACTGTTTGCAGTTGTGCAACTGTATGTTTATTCTGTTTTTACTTGTTCATGTGTTAGCACATTTCTTTAGGCTTTCCCTCCACACTTACACTAGTCATTCTTCCTCCATCTTTTGCTGGCTGGGTTCAGACTGAGGGTACAATTGCTTCTCAGCTTGATGGAACTCCTTTGCAGCACACTGACATCTAGTGCTGAAGGCCTCTAACTGCAACTTAACTGCAGCTGCCGGCTTCTGTAGTAACATGAGTGTTAAAAGCTTTATTTGACAGTGAACTACTTTGTGGGTGTGTGCATCTGCAGGCTTGCCGTCACGGCCACGTGCAGCACCTGGAACATCTACTGTTCTACGGAGCAGACATGAGTGCCCAGAATGCCTCGGGAAACACTGCTCTACACATCTGTGCCCTATACAACCAGGTGAGCAGGATGTGTGTACTCCTGTCCAGCCAGATCTTTGTCATTCTGTCATAAAAGGCAGGAGAACTGTGGGGCAACGTACTGTATTCTGTGTATCCCATGAAGAGGAGAGTAATCACTAACATAGGGGTGAAACATGTTATAGGTTTTGGATCATTACTTATCTACAGTATGCAGTCTAGAATCCCACTGGGATTCTAGACTGCATACTGGATGTTTTTTGTTTGTTTTTTTTTGTGTGTTTTTGAGGGATTTGTTGTTGATAAAATGTAGAGACACTCCAACCTCACCCCTTAGCTGAATGTGCACAAACTAGTGAACCCTCTCAAAGACCACTTCACTTAAATCTGCCAGTATACCCTCTAGCTAAAGGTCAGCAGCGGCCTCTAACTCCTGTTTGCACTGCCAGCGTCCTGAGGCCAGTTATCATGTTGCCCTTGGAGCCCGGCCATAAGCTGAGAACTGCAGCTTTGAATCAGATGCAGTCCGTCGGTGTGTACCCGAGTCAAACCAAAAATTAAATTTCACCGAAGAAAGATAATTCTGTTCCTCTGTCAAAGGAAACGTGCTTTGGACCTTTATGAAATGGTACTGCCACCATCATCCACAGTTGTTTTTTTGCAGGTGTGAAATGCCACATTGGTATCAGTACATGGAAATGGGGAATTAGTCTATTTTAACATAAAACTAATTTTTAAAGGGTGAGGCTGCTATTATTGTATATTCTTTTAATTGTCATCCAATCTGATGTAAAGACCAAAACCAGCGTGTTAATGCGTCTCTCAGTACTTTTACAGTACAGATTTTTCTTTCCTTTCATTTGCAATCACCTCATTGATTCCAGCTGAATATTTAAAGGTACATTAACTAATTTCTTTTCAGCCACTAGAGGGTCTAGTGAAACTCAAGACAAACTGATGTCTTATATCCTAGCGACAGCATAAGGTACGGATGCCTGGTTAGGATAAACTGAACAATAAACAGCCACCAATCTGAAGCTACCTCCTGGATGTGTTAGCATCTAAAGAACGAGTCAACCTGAGTCCTCTGACTGTTTTTAACCCTCTCCATGTCAAACAGCCAAACCAATGTTAACCCTGGTTGTTGCTCTTTTTTTTGTCCCACTTTCTCTGTGCAAAAGACATCACGTCATCACTCTGGCAGCCGCTGGTTCAGACTTTTAGCTGCCCAGAGCTCCTCCATGGCTGTTTGACATGACTACTGGTGGCTGGAAAAACCATTCTTCTAACCTTGGCTAGGCGGTGCTGATTTACAGACCGTACTTTGACAACACAGGGTGGAGAAGCTGGAAGAAGAACAGGAGGGCTGTAGGCAGCAGAGGGTCATGGAGGGGGGGTGTAGCTGGGGGACACCACGTCCTGTCCTACTGTCACTTAATTTTTAGAACAATGTGTAAAATTTTTGTTAACGCACCTTTAAATCATTACAAATGGCTCACAGATTTATGTTTTTAAAAAGGCTCAATTTTGTGAATTAGCTGCTCACTGCAGTTTTGATCAGACAAACAGGAAACTGTGCATTTGTTGGGACTATTTTTAGCAGCAAATAAATCCACATTTGGTCTCAAGTGGATGTTTGTGGCAGCAGGATGGTGTATGTGGGACTGAATCAAGATAACCTACAGTATGTGTGTGTTTATAGGGATGAAGGAACATGTGACCTTGTGCTTTTGAACGGCTTCTGGACACAATAGAGCTCTGTGACAAGGAGGCAGAAGCTACAGTTGCTTCAAATGGGTTTTGTTGACGGGTGTTAGTTCAGAAGGGTCCTATAGAAAGTAAAGTTCAATTTGAGGAGTAAATCAGTAGTTTTATGTCAAACACCACTCTCTGTGGCACAATGCAATATGATATATCAGGCTTTAATACTTAGTACTTGTCAGTAGGATCAATTATTATTGGCTTTGGCATTTTCCTTGGATTTGTTGACAGTAATAAGAAATATATCATGTGACCACACAGTGCAGCAGTGAAGACAGTGATGGGTGCATCTGAGGTGGCTGATGTAACCTGGATTATTCTGGTATTAAAATGCGTTCCATAAATATCCATACTTTCTTTGTTGAATATGCTGAACAAGTGCAGGTTGTCACATAAAATCATAAACTAAAATCCTCTGGTGAGAATATGTGACTGTCCTTCTCAGTACTTTGTTGTCATCTGCAGTCACTAACACAACATGAAATGCACAAGGAAAATTCATTTGAGTCCATTTGATTATCCTCGGCATCATGGGCATTAGAGTTGATCTTTCCCATGTTTCAGTCCCGACATCTGCTTTTGTGCTTCTGCTTCACTTCATAGCTCCGAAATATGTATGGCACACATTTCCATTTTCAAAGCTTCATTTATAGATGTAGTTTAAACAGAAAAAAGTACACATTGTGGGACTGCTACGGCTATAACAGGCTCATGCATGTCTGAAAATAACACATGTCTTATATGTCTAATCACAGAGACATTTGCAATGCCACTGTACAGATTATGGTTGTGTATCAGTATCTGTGTGCGACTCTGATTTTTCAACTCTCAATAGCTTATTGTGGTTCTAAAAAAAGTATTTATATTCATGTGTGTGTGCACAGTCCATGCGTGGTTGAGCACTTGGTGGGCGATTGGTGCTGTAGATTCAAGCCCCTCAGCGCTCTCCACCTCTCTGTTCTTTTCTCTCGCTCGCTCTCACTCCCTCTTTCTCTTGGAGTGGAGCAATAGATACACACTTAATAGCAAGTGAAGCTCTATTCCTGATATAGCTAGAATTTATTCTGTTGTTTTACCTCATATTCCTGTGTCAGTGCTGGGATGTCTCACCTTAGCCACGCTGACCGGCTCCTGCTCTGCTGACTTCTTCTGTTTTTGGAAAATTCTGCTAATGTCACTGGAAGCTAATCATCCTTTCTCCTGAACCAAGTAGGAGAATCAGAGGATTTCAGTTTTGTTTCAGACATTTTCTCAGCTTTATTTTAATATATTTTTCTCTCTCCTTCCCAGGATAACTGTGCCAGAGTGCTGCTTGTTCGTGGAGCTGACAAAGACGTGAAGAACTACAACAGCCAGAGTCCATTTCAGGTAGAGTAAAAAATAAGCACTCATCTTCACTGCCGTTTGTGTGTAAGCGATTACATTAGACTGAGTTTAGTTTTCAGTGTACGGAAAACATTTTTAGTAACAACACATTTTTTTTAGCTCATTTGTTACCATGGCAACAGTGCAACGTGGTCAAGGTCAGTTGAAACCAAGGATTGTAAATGTATTTCTGGCCGATATTAGACTTGTTTCAGTTGAGCAGTGTTTGGCGAAGAACTGGGAGAGAGCATCGACAGTAAAACATCAACCCTGAGAAACACTGACAAACAGTGGTAACTGCATTTTTTTTTCGTTTATCTAACTTGTTTTGAAAATGTTTGATTAAAGAAAAACATTGTTAGACATGCAATTCTTTAGTTAACTGAAGAGAAAGCATGAAAATCACCAAAGTTGATGTAAAGGCTTTCATGTGACAGTGGTAGATAAAGTTAAAGCACTCCAATAATGCTCTTAAATCAAATTGATCAATTTACTTTTTACCAAGTCTGTTGTGTACAATGATAAAGGAAGCCTGAGTGGGTGGGCATGATCAGATGCTGCTTATGTGCTTCTGTGTGTGTGTTTAAGTGTTAGTGTATGTTTGCATATGCTTCAGCAGCACATCCATCCCAGGGAAAAACCCCAACAGCACCAAGAGCTACCTAAATATCATGGCTTATAACCTACATCTGAGTTACAGAAGAGCATTATTCAGACAGGCATTTACGAAAGGCAGTCCTCGGTTCCTCACCTGTCCTCCACAGCCACTCCAGTGGAGCACTTCATTAGATATAGTGCCTCCTAAAGGGCATGAGCCTGGGCCGAAAGGAGATCCCATCAGGGTGTTAGTCAGAGTCTGAGTTCAGATGAGGTGTCTAGAGTTAGGCTTCCATTTCATGCTGATGTTAATCCATTTTTTTCCATATGAAGCTTTCCTTTCATTTGAGTGCAGTGCACATAGGGAATAATCATCCAGTGAGGTGTTTCACTTTGTATCTTTTAAGATTACTTAACAGGGTGGATTTGAAGTATTGCCCACACTTAACTGAGTGATGTAGCTCTTGATGCCGTTTTACTGTGGTGGTTCAGTTACAAAAATCAGAATACTGTAAATCAGTTCACCTCCACACATCCATGTCTTTTAATATCTTTGTATACAAGAGTATGCGTAATTCATGTTAGCAACTGTGGTGTGCAGGCAAGTCTTTGACCCCTCCACATCTGATCCACAAAGTCCGTTTTTTTCAAACAAACTACTGAGTTTCAAGGCTTATCACATGCCAAAACTATCATGGCGTCATTTGGTTTATTTGTTGTTGTGGCACCTACTGCAGTTTCCAGCACCACTCCTCCCAGTGACCCAGCAAAAGTTGGTCCTGCATTTTGTTTCCTGCCTTTGGCCTTTGTGCTGAACTTTGCTTTCTGGCTGTCTGAACTCTGCCGCCGCCTTCACCCCTCTGTTGGATTTAGATTTAGGTTGGGGATACACCAAAAACACCATCATACAGTAACTTGGATTCAAATATGCATGTACTGCTCTGGAGAGTCAGAGCAGATGCAGATGCTTCCACACATGTGGCTCATGGGGGTCACTGATGTGGCTGATGAATATAGAAATGGTCTGAATCATATGGCCTGCAGACACAGGATCTCAACCCTATCGAACACCTGTGGGAGAGTTTAGAGCATTGTGTTAGACAGAGTATGTTTATAAAGCTGGTGTCCATCCAGCTCAGTAACAGAAGGAGCACTGAAGCTGTTCTGGAGGCTCATGGTGGAACACGACCTCACTAAGGCATTTTATGTGAATTTATCCTTTAAATTCCCAATCAGGTGTATATAGGCCTATCAAAATGGTAATTTAATGCAAATAAGAACAATGAAATTCATAGTCAGTGGAATGAGCTGTGTTCCACTGATGAAGTACATCTGATCAGTGTCTTCAGGCATTTAAAACAAGAACTTAGGTAACAGACGATGTTGGCTTTTAATCACATTTTGCATTTTTTACGTTGGTCCACAGAATACTGTATATCAGTAATACACCCATATTTGGTCATAGCATGGCAATGCAATGGCATAAAAGTCAGTAAATGATCACAGTGAGTCATTGCCTTCTGATAAAACCTTTTCTAGTGTAGAAACACTTCTGCAAAAGCAGAAACTGTACCAGGAACCATCAGGTTTGGTGTCAGTCTCTTGGAATTAATGAGCTACCATTCCTTTTTGCAGCCAACATTTTGTACCAATGTCCAATAAACATTCAGGGAGAAATCTGTTGTAAAAGAGACACAAACAGCCGTTACTCTCCTGACAGAAGCCTCGGCAGCAGAACGACAAGCAGCCACTAGACATGCCGCGGACTCTCACTTGTTTTCAAGTGGAAAAACTCGCTCTTTTGCTCTTACTATCTTTATCACTGTTGCACTCTCCACCTACACATGGAGCCAAGAGCTGAATCCAACAGGTTTGCCTGTTTTCCGAGAGGCCGGCATTCTAGGAAATGGAGGAAGTCACTAACTGGAGTCGATTTAGATAAAGGAAAGAAGGACTGGTGCATCAACAGCATCAATTAGTCTACCACATAACTCCAGGAGTGCAACACTGTAAGTGTCACTAAGTATAAAAAAAAAGAGCATATCAGGATGGATTTTTGTGCACAACATGGCCAAATGTATGCGGAAACCCAAACTACACACCTATGTGTGATAGTCGAGCATGTCATTTCAAAGCCATGTGCAGCCTCCTCTCTGCTGGTTTCAGTCTTTTCACCAGATGTTGAACCTGGCTGCATGAATGTGCTCCCATTCAGTCACAGCAGTCATATTCGTGAAAAGGTCAGACTCCCAGTCGGCATTTTGGTTTGTCCCAAGGGTGTTGGATGGTTTGAGCTCAGGGCTTTTTGCAGTGCAAACTGGGAAAATCAGTTTCTTTATGAGGTGACATTGTGCATAGGAACTGCCATCAGCTCGGGCCATAATTCTTTCATACAGCCCAATAACCCAAATCACAAATGTGCCTCAAGGGGTTTTACAGTATGTACGGCAGAGAACGCCCTCTGTTTTGAGACTGTTGAATAGGATAAGAAGAAACTCCCCCCATAATAATTTTAAATGGAAAAAAAATGTAAAACTCCCTGAAGAGGAACAGAGGAGGGATTGGGCAATCAAAATGATACATAAAAACCTGCGCTACACAACATTTTCTCCTTCGTGAAGACCTGGAAAGAGGACAGACTGCACCAACACACACACAAGGCAAAGCTCAAGCCCACCCTTCACACATACAGTATTGGAGAATAGAAACAAACACAGAGGGAGAGAGAGAGAGACAAGGAAGCAGCTGGACAACAAAGATCCAGATCCAAAACACTGGGATTGTGCACATACTCATGGCCATACTGTGTGCCAGGTGGACTTTTGTACTATTTGCACAGTTTGGGACATTTGCCCAACTGAATTGTCTCTGAAGCAGCAAGAAGGATGCATGTGTTGTGTAGCTAGCATGTACTATATAGCCAAAAGTATATGGACAAATATGTTGACAAACCTATGGTCATATGGAGTAGTCATATTGTTTCATCTATGGCAGTGATGCAGGTGGGAACATACTGTAGTCTAAGGCTTTTGCAGTAGATCATTATACTTTCTCATTAAGGAGGAATCCCTTTTTATATATAGTGTGTGCTCCTCCTCGTATGTGCATCAACTAGTCGACCTCTCTCTAAAAAGTGGGCACTCTGCATGCTTGTCAATTCAACAAAGGGAATTGCTTGAAAACACCATCATTAGGAGCCAAATTAACAATCGCAAAGTGCAAATGTTAATAAAGAGCTATTACCACAGCTGAATGAGGCGCGCTTATGTGGTGGTGCTGTGTGTGCTCCTAATTAGGACACTGTGGGCGTGTGGCCATGCCATTTGATAATATCATGTCAGTTCAGTGTCTGACTGTGTACGTGTGTGTGCCACGGCTTAGCCTGATAACCATTGTTGCATACAACAAAAGGAAAAGACTCTGAGCACAGCTGAAGCACGGAAAACTCCCATCATCGCCCCTGACTACCCCGTTCTCTGGATAGAGAGCTTTCAATAAGATAAAAATTCATTTTCTTTAACAATTCCACCAGCAGCTGGTCACATGCTCTCCACTTCCTCTACTTCTTCATTGCTCTTTCTGTCTCCTCACACAGTATTTACATTTCTCCTGTCTGACCCCTCTGAGGTTTTCATCCTTTATAATACCTCATTTCATTTGCTTGTCCTCCTCTTGTCCTCTGTGCTTTCTGTCATGCCATTCTTCTAATCTAACTCATTTCTCTACTCCTTATCATAATCATTCTATTTTCCACTTCCTTCATCCCCCCTCCCCTTTAAATCCTGCCCTCTTTGCCCCACACTTGTTTTCCCCGTCGCCCTCGGCACATGCTGCAAGTCGCACATAATTTTGCCTCTGCTTCACTTGTCATTCAGAGCCGCATGGAGCCAATTACAGCCACCACTGACATGTCATACAGTTTGCCAATGTCTTGTCAAAATATTCAAATATCCATGTCAAAGTAGTTCACTCACTTCTGTTCAAAGTTTTTGTCAGCTCATAAATAGATCTGTAAATACTAACTGAGTCTATTTTAACCTGATTCAGCTTAAACTCCCAGTGAACAGCTGAGTTTCAGTGAGTTGCTGCACTTGCTGAGAACAGCAGCACAAAAGATGGTAGCAGGGAGATGCACTCTCCATCCCACCTTCCTCATCCCTCAGTGGAATTGTAAGCAGAAAACAGCACATAAACTGCCTCAGAGTTAATTCAGATGCAAATTGGGCATAATTATGCAACTATGAAGATGTTTTGTAGACTTTGTTTTGTGCAAACTTACCAAAATGCTCTGACTAGCATCAATAGAGTTTCTGATATTTGTCACTCGCTCAGTGTTTTGGCTTTACAGCCAGAAATGTTACCCTTATGGTTCTGTCTTACTGCTCTTTAAAAACCTCATTTCAGCAAAACTGCTCAGATTAACTCATTGTACAAGCACCGGACCAGCAGCAAACAGCAGACAGAGTTAGTCGGTGAACACAGTGGAGCATTTAGCAGAAAGAGCCAGACATTTCCCTCGGACATCAAGGACAGAACAGTGCAGACAGGTGCAGGACCATTGGACTTAAATTCACTGGATAAATGAAAATAAGACTCCCATTGAATGCTAATACTTCTGTGTTTCACTGGAAGGTAAATAGCAGCTCCTTGCTAACATCCAGTATCGACTTTAGCCTTTAATGTGAAAAGATGTTGGCGTTGTGTTTACAGTTTTTTGCGTTGCCTCCAAATGGCTGAAAAATCCATTAATGCAATAGTTTTTTTTTCTTGATGCTTCTTCATTAGTGCTGCAGCTAAGCAGGGCTGACTGACCGAGCAGTCTCACAGTCACCATGATATTCCTGGAATTATATTAGTTTAGCAACATTACAAAAATATACATGTTAGTTGAAATGTAACATCACAAAGCTGAAGTTTGGTTTGTTTAGTGTGGATTGTGGTTTGTAGTTAGAAATTGATGACATGTTCACTTAAGCAGGAAACAAATGTTGATGGTCTTGAAGGAATAAAATGTTGAAAAAGTCATACATATAAAAACACAGACTGCAGGTGAGATCCAGATGAAGACCTACCATGCTTATTTCTGCAGATGTTTGAAAGTAATTTAAGTATTCTTTGGTGTGACAATCAGCAGGGAAAGTAAAAAAAAATCCCTACTGTAATGACTCCTGGTAACAAACATCCACCTCACCTTAACATTAAAGACATTAAACATTTCAGTAGTGTCTCTGTCGTTTGTGACCCACTTTAGTAAAGCCGCATTTATTGCGGCTCACGTGAAGACACCCAGACTGACTCAATGAATAACAATAATGAAGGAGAATGTACAGATACAAGACATTTGGCACCCCCAGTCCCTCAGTGCTGCAGCCTGACTCGCCACTGGATCTTTCCTCCTTCCTGTCCAGGACTTTTTTTTCTTCATCGATTCTTGACTCATTTCCTGTCTCCTGCGTACTCACTTCTCTCTTGGTTTTAATCTGACTTGCTGCCTCTGCTGATGTTTCACTTGACTGCATGCGGCTCATAACGCTGAGCCAGTGCCTTCCCATCCCCCTGGTTACTTCAGTGTTATACACAACCATCTATCTCCATGACAACCAGGGGAGAACAGGAAAAGAATCGGCGTGGGGGCGGTGATGGTGGTGATGGCTGTAGTGTTGGTGATGGTGGGTGGTGGAATGCTGATGAGAGATAAACTGTGACTGTGTTTGCTTAGGAGTTACCTGGCTGTTAATCATACTGTACCTTATCAGTTAACATGTAGCTTGGAAGCATCCAATCAGCCTCGCTGCTCTCTTCAACCTCTGTCTCGGCTCAGCTGTCACAGAAGCCATCTCCTGTGTCGCTTCCTTAACTCTGGTTTCATCAAAGCATCTGGAGTCAGAGGAAAAGTACAAGTGGGCCACGCCAAAGTCAGTGCAGCGAGGTGATGAGAAATCAAATGATTTAATAGGACTGGGTGATGAGGATGCTCGGCTGCTGAGATGCTTGATTAGAATCCTGCCCTAAAAGATCTGTGCTTCGCTGAACTCATTCCAGCAGCGACTTCATCTGGAGCTCAGCGCATCCTGTCCACTGCTGGAATCGCTCGGAGGGAAACCAGAGGCTTCTGATGCTTGTATGTTATTAGTGAAGTCATTCTCATTATGCTGACAGGAAGCAGCCATCAGTCATATAGTACATGCCAAAATACTCCACAGGCTGACACTGCCGATCACTGTGGTTTTCAGCAGAGAGATTTCACTTGAATGATGTCAACAGGACTGATCCATCAGCTGAAGTGTTTAATACATATGCAGTCGTAAGTGAAGGCTGCACTTGCCCTTTGGCCTCACTACTAACCAGTAAAACACTTTAGTTGATGTCAAAACACAAACTGAAAACTTTAACATTCTTGAAAGGTTGGGAACAACCGAACGTTGGAGAAGGAAGAGAGCAGAAATAAACAAAGATAATGAGGAGGAAAGGAGGAAAACAGGGAGTGGATCGTATATTTAGTGTCTGCCCATGAGCGATGTGGGCTTGGGTTGGCTTTTATAGGACCCTTGCCCCTAGATCGCAGACAAGTCATCAGACATGTTGTAACCTAGCAAGTCAAAGCTGTTTGGAAGAGAAAGGAAGGTTAGATTATTACCCCAGCTGTTCATTTAAAACATCCTGCTGCAGGTTTGACCTCCTTTACTGTACTTGGCACACCGGTTTCCACTGAATATTTTTGTGTCCAATGAGGGATAAATACTGACGTCACTTACACTGAGTTTAATCTTCAGACAGATTGAATTAGATGATCAGAATAAACTCGTTTTCTGAGATGTCAGACTTTTTCCTTGCAGCAGTGTCGTCCTGTTCTGAGATCAGTTACTTTGTTGACCAGTAAAATATCGTAACTAGTAACACCGTTGCCCATGAGCTATGAGAATGTAACCTAAGTCATGCACCGTGGTCAGGTTTGTAAACAGGCAGTCATTAAGTAATGACGTGTCTGTCTGATTTCACCAAGACCAAAACATTAGCATCCTAGAAAAGTCACAGTTAGAAGACCCTGAGACTTCCAGGCTCAAAGTGGACTAAACCTAATTCAAAAGGTTTCATTGAAACTTTGCTCTAACAGCATTTAAATGACCATATTTTAGTGTGAACAGGTACCAACTCCATGCTGTTGAAACATCAGTTACTGTACATATAACCCAGATTTAGCTTGGTTTAAATTAGACTTCTTTTGTCCTTAAAATCACAAAATCACTGCCTTCTTGGAAGGGGGAGTAAATTCACCAGGACAGTCATGTGTGCTTTTTTAAAATCTGTTCTTTTAATGCTACAAACTGATGGTAAGCCTTCAGTGTGTTATACTACAGTACATATCTTTTTATATGTCAGGTGTCCATCACGTAAACAATACAGAGATTCACTGAGCTTTAGCTTTAAATCTCAGACATCTTTATTAGACACTCCCGAGTGCTTTTTCTCAGAAATGCTGTGCTTATTTATATGAAGGAGAGGTCAGCTGTGGATTGGGCCTTCAGTGTTTGTTACCATCTCTCTCCCTCATCCTCCTGAATATTTGTTCTCCAGGAATCACAGCAGACATGCCTGTGTAATGCTGCTGGGTTTCCCTTGAGCTGTGTGTGTGCAATGCATCAGTGGAGACTGGGCCTGACTGTAAACACCATGGGCTCTGCAGAAATGACTGCAGGCAGCAGCAACATGACAACAGGCAGCATGATTGGGGTCTCTGACAGTGACAGTCATGTCTTTACTGACCCCTGCTGGGCACACAGAGAACACCTGCTTTGTGTGCAGCTGGTCATCCATCCATTATCCATACCACTTATTCCTGAACAGGGTCACGGGGGGGGGGGCTGGAGTCAATCCCAGCTGACACTGGGTGAGAGGCGGGGTCCACCCTGGACAGGTTGCCAATCTGTCACAGGGCTGACATGTAGACACACAACCACACACACTCACACGTACTCCTACGAGCGATTTAGAGTCACTAATCAACCTAAGCTGCATGTCTTTGGACTGTGGGAGGAAGCCGGAGTACCCAGAGAGAACCCACGCAGGCACAGGGAGAATATGCAGACCCCACACAGAAAGGCCCCGGGCCGTGCAGTTGGTCAGAATGTCTGAAATAAAATTACTTTAACTTGGGAATGAGAAGAAGGTTTTATGGAACACCTTACATTTATACTGTGGATCAGTTGATGCGGTGAATTTTTTATTATTATTTTTTATCCAGAGCCGTCGACAGAAGCTGCTTTTACATTTGTGGTTGTTAGAGTAAGTTTTTATGTCCTGTGCTCTTTAAATATTTACAAACTGCTCTGCGGAGGAATTGCAAAGATAAGTGGTGTAGTTTTTGTTTGTTCCTCCTTTTTGTTCTGTTTCTCCCTCTCCTCTCTGTCTCTCTGCAGGTCGCCATTATCGCTGGCAACTTTGAGCTCGCTGAGCTCATCAAGAACCACAAAGAGACAGATATAGGTGAGTAGCAGGACAGCGCATTCTCTTTTCCCCTCTTCCATCTATCTGTCCTTCACCGATTATTCCCCAGCCATCCAGTGCATATTCCTGAATCTCTCAGGATACATTTCAAATCCCTCCATGGTTTGATCCTCCTAAATGACCTCCCAGTATAATCCCCTCCGTGGGATTATGAGAACATTGCCAAGTGGATAAAAGTTTGTGTTTACACCAGGAAAATTTGGGGCTGATTATTCCGGCAGAAATGATCAATGCCTCGGCCAGTGGGTGCCAATTGGTTGATTTCCAAAGGTGTGGACTGACATGGGATACTATTTGTGTAAGGATTTGAATACACAGATAGATGGATTGAACATTTCTTCTATTATTTGTGATGATTATTTATAAATATGAAGTTATTATTGTTTTACAACACAACCTTATGTTGGTGTACTGTTTACTTGCCTCTTGCGTGGAGATATGTACATGCACATTGAGAGCCAATGTACCAGAGTCAAATTCCTTGTGTGTCCGACACACCTGGCCAATAAAGCAGATTCTGATTCTGATTCTAAACTCTTTTTGTGTTTCTAGGTTAAGAGGTTGAAAATTCGACAGACAGTACATGTCCGAGGAATGTGCAGTTTGGATTGGCCCCTTTTGTGCACACACCCAACGCATACCTAAAATAACAAAGTCAGAATTAGTGTTCAGTGAAATGAGCCAAATTTGCTGAGGCACAACCACAGTGAAACTGTACGTTTTCTTGTGTATTGTCCTTCAATTTAGATTTTGAGACTTTATGCTTTCAAACATCTCAGTTCCAAGCTGCATCCTGTTATAGAGCTACAGTAATTTAGTTGAAGACTACATTAAAATGCAGAATGGTGTGTAGCCTGTATACGCCGCATGACTCGTCATCTGCGTGTGTGCGAGGGAACAAGAAGGAGGTGAGAAAACAAGAAAGATTTGTCACCAACATACACAAATGATAAAAGAGCAGTTTTTGAACAGATTCCATGTTTTTTCTTCTTCCTCTTGCTATTTCTGGCCTCGGTTGCTTAGTTGCCGCTTACTCGCTTATTAAATTCTGGAGAGACAGATTGGAGATGGCGACAGACTTGGCTCCAGTTTAACACCTGACAGAGTGACAGTTTGTTTGCTGTGCAACAACCGCTGCTCACACCGTTGTGTCGATGTCGCTCGGTTGTGTTCCTGGTTTAGGAAAATGTCTCCAGCGCAATGAAGTGAACACTGGGATTAACCCAGCATTACTGGGATACTGATTACTGTAGATCAGTTTGTGGAGCGCAGAGAGCTCGGGGATTACGGGGCCTTAGAGAAAATGAGAAAAGATGATCAAACAGCAAATAAATATATAAAGGAGGACAGAGAAAGATGAGGTTGAGGGGGGAAATGAATGAATGAAGAGAGAGAAATCTAATTTAATCTGAAGATGTAATCCTTCATTTGTCTCCCTCCCTTGTGGATGCCACCCACCAGTGGCCGGCCTCACATGGCAGCCACGGTGGAGGGCTAACTGGGACACTGCAGCGGTGCAGGATTACACCCAAAAAGCCCAGCATCCGCTATGCCCCGAGCACCGCCACCTCCCTCCATTCACACCATTTCAAACCCAACCACAACTGCTTGTCTGCAGCATTGAGTGTTATCCAGGGACAGACAGAAGTTGTCAGGTAGTTCGTCAGGACTCTTCATGTGTTGTGCTGTCCCTGCTTGGACTGTGGACTTTGGGATGGGACATCTCTACTTCTGGATTCTCATTTGGCCACCATGGGTTCAGCCTGTTGCAAAGGTGGGTGCCCTGTGCCCCTGCTTCCATCAACCCTCTACTCCAGTTGTTGCTTGACTTATGACTCCACCCATGTCAGAGCCCTGCCCGCCCCTTGCTGCCGTGTCGTACTGAGCTTTTGAATGTTGACCATAGGCTGACTGCAGTGACTTCTTGTGTGTGCGTCTTCACAGTTTGTCTTGCTCACTCTGTCCTGAAGATGCAGGTGTTCAGCCACATAAATTAGTTGTTTTTTATGTTGACACCACATGTCAAGGCTGAGCTACACAACCAGGCAACATGGCCAGTAGGGCCCTCAGGACCCCAGATTCACTGTGTCTGAGTTGGTTTGTTGTGATGACATTAACTGTAGTCCTGTTTAAGAAAGAGAAACTCCATCAGTTTTCATCGTCCTTTTTATCATTGCATTTTCTGACTTGACTTGTGATGGAAGTTTAGATAAAAGATGATAATCTTTTATGCTGTGTTGGGTGATTTTAACTCATCATCTTTACTGTTTTATGTTGGTTTATTTACACTTACACTTAACAAACTGCATCACAGGATGTCTCTCTGTTGATGTGCCTATATCTCAGGCTTACACGTTTACATCAGGGACAATAGTATTTTGAGTTGTGGTCCATCAAGGTTGCCTTTGTAACTCGCCACAGAGCCACAAAGTCTAGGTTCTGCAGGAGTCCACACAAATTTAGAGCTGCCACATAAGGTATGAAGCATGCGACAGATATAGAAGTTGTACGTCAGAGGCTTCTTTTCAGCCACAGTCTCTGTGGGAGAGAGTGTATGTTTCATGTATCTGTCTATATTACTGTTAATTTCACCCAAACTCGTCAAAGTAAACTGCCTGAAATGGGAACTCTCGCGTACTGATCCGTCTATCAACATTCACCTATAATGAGTTGGCAGAATTCTTCCTTTCATTGCTAGCAGCAGCGAATGCAGCCTGGAGCTTGCAGTAGAAAAGAGGAGCAGGCTGCAGAGGTCTGGTGAGCTCGCTTCTTTCTAACCCCACACCCCCAGATTGTTTCACACAGCTCCCTCTGGGTACACTAAAGGCTTTAAACTGCTTTTTTTTTTTCACATCTGCAGTTCTACTTCCCAAGATCTGGAAACAGACTTTCCCTTTATGGTCATCTTCATTTTTACCTTAAGGGCAATTGGCACCGGGAAACTCGTATAAAAATCAGTCATCTTCCATTTTATGAAATGTAGCATTCCACTCTGAATCAGAGCGACTTCACAGGCAGCTGCTCGATCACACTGGTCTCCTACTGTCTGTATACACGAACTGTGCTCATGAGACACTTTTTATTCAAAGCACTTCACAGTTTCACAGCAAGCTGCCATGTGAGGTGCTGCCTGACACCCAGAAGCAACTGGGCTTCGATGTGTTGCTCAGAGCTCATGTGAAATTATCAGCTGTTTGGATACTGATTCATCAAGGCCTTTGGTTTCACTGTGACCATGCAGAGCTGACAGGACAGCTGGATGCTTCGGTAGTGTTCACTTCTGATGTGACTTCTTAGCTGAAGCTTTGATGACCTCGTAGGAAATTTGTGTTGTGTTTAGTCGATCAGCTGAGCATTAAACAACAATCACTGTTGTCATCTAAGTGTTCACCAAGCTGAACAGCTCACTGTGAGGGTTTGTGATGTTAGCAAGGCTCTTTACTCTTTTCCACCAAATACTCACAGAATATTCTCACACCAGTGCAGAGAGAAAAAGAGAAGATGCTGCATCACAGCTGTAGATGCAGATGTTTGTAGCTGTGACCAGCAGCAGCCTGCTTACTGCACACTCATCTGAATTTGTGCTTCGCAGCAGGGTGAATTATTCTAATCAAGCATTCACATTGTGTTTTCAATCAAAAGAAGGTGTGATGAATATGTCCCTGTCACATCTGACTGGACAGCATGGAAGAATGCTACTTAGCAGTTACAACCACAGTGTTAGCGGCTGTTTACATGCAAAGACCTGGAACGAGCACCAGTGTCGCACATTATTAGTATCTTGATTTGGTGGTTATGTGGAGTTGTTCTGAGACATGGATGCTCTTAATCAATCAGTTTATTCTCACCCCGGGGTGGAGAGGTGACTAATCTAACTGAATATAGTAAATTACAATATTGGTGAGACATTTAGTGTTGCTATAATTTCTAGATGGACTCTAGTGCAGAGGCCAGGGCGAATGAAGCTGTGTAGTAGGACACGGTGCGGCTGAAGGCAAAGAAAGGACGGCTTCTCCAAGGCCACTGATGCACATATGCAGCCTGATGTTCTTCATACATTTCACATGTATGACCCAATTAACAACTAGACATTCAGAGACCTGTGCATGGAAACATGTTGACATGTAGTCAGCCAAAGAGTAGGCAGCTCTGCCCAAGGCCAGGCAGAGCTGCCAAGTACACAGTAAGAGCCCAGTTAAACTAAACGCTGCAATTATCAGTAGTACTATTAGAATAGTAGTAGTGTTTCTGATAGCCTGATTGGTACTGGTCCTTTCAGTCCAATGAGTGTTTGAGAGTGAAACATCTGATCATTTCTAATTACAGTGTTTCTAATAAAATGGCAGCCAATTTCCACTGGCAAAGAATAAAAAGAAATACTACATGAAGATGAAAAATAAAATTAAAAAAATGTTTTTTAAAAATGATGAGTTACTAGCTCATTGTCAATGTCTGCGTTTCATGTTTTGATTTGTTCTGTTTTTAATTTCTTGCCAGAAATGGGTTTCCATTGAGACATACTGTTTTATACTGAGTAAACATGTTTTCTGTCTGTCCATCTGATAATCACATAACATATACAATTTGGCAAGTATAGTAGCTGAATTCCACCTGGAAATGAAAACAAATGAAAACGGACATAGTTTTAATGACATTACTCACCGTGTCTAATTCTTTAGATTTGCTATGACTGTTTTCTGTCATACCAACCCTTTCAGGTATTGTGTATGTAACTTTCCTTAGCAGAAATTGGCTTCCACAGACAATAATATTTAGCTGAAGAACATTTAAACAGTTCTCTGTTTTACAAACCATCCAAATGCAGTTCTGGGTGGACAGATCATCTTTTCACTCAGCTCTAAGTTGCTTCCACAACTCCAATCTACAGAAACTCATCCATGCCTTCCTGTCCACCGCACTGAACACTTTTGGTGCTACTCAGTCTTCCTTATCTCTTCACTCGGTGCTTACCTTTGCAG